CTTTATCGATCTTAAACTAAAATCAATGAAGAATGTATGACAGCTTTGAGCACAAGATTCCAGAATTTAATACTAACAGAGAACTTACTTTCCATTGCCAATCTTTAGCTAAAACAGCACCATCCTCACAGAAGGTGGAAGTAGCAGCAGGAATGAGAGACCCTGAAGCTTGGCAGAAATACATCAAAACTGTACTTCAAAAAGGTAGGGGCCAATGGACTGTATTCAATGATCACATAATGAAAACTAGGAGAGGGAGAGAGAGTGAAGCAGAATATTCTGCAGCTGTGAACAGGAACACTTCACACTGCAACATTATGTTGGAATTCTTCCTTGTTCTTATATAATACAGAAGTGATGGTGGCATCGTATCTATGACCTACATGTGGATTATCCCTGTATAAATATTAGCACAGATATTATGGCTTTCATCAAAGGCATCCAATGGTATAAAGTATAAGTACCAATAGAATAACAAAGCTTCTGCTCCTTTAAGGAATTGATCAAGAAAGCAGATTTTTAGCATCAAGAAATAAAGTAATATTCCACTAATGATACTTACATGATTTTTAAAATTCTATTCAAATCATCTCCTTGAAATAAATCATACATTCAAGACTATTTTGAACTTAGATTTAAAAGTGTGTGTGTGTGTGTGTGTGTGTGTGTGTGTGTGTGTGTGTATGAGAAACATGGCCTTCATTTGATAAATATATTTTGTTGAAATATTAACATTTTACTTTAGAAGAAATATGCAGTCCCAAATATGACAATGAGTATTCTGCCATTTGCTACATAATCGATTTCTATGCTTCCCATAGCCAAAGCTCTTTGGGAAGTTTACAAATTGCATATTCTCAAACTCAGCATACCGAACTCACTAACAATAAAGTTTCCAGTATTCACCTTAAAATGTATAGCTTTAAATTAAAGCTCATTACTTAAAAGTTTTGTTCATTTGTTTTCACATAATGATTACCTACTCCATCTGTGTGTGTGTGTGTGTGTGTGTTTTTCTTTTCATCTTTAGTAACAGTGATATCTGCTGAAAAAGGAAAGCACTGAAGCTCTTGTGGGATCACACCTGCACATATAAAACTGTTCAAGAGAAATCTGTAGCATTGATAAAGTATCAGTAATTAACAAAGGTATTTTGAAGAAAAAAAAGAAATTGCATAGTAGGTAAGAAACCAACATAAAATTAACACTTAAAAACACATATCTGACACTTACTCAGAAAAACCAGAAAAGTTAATCTCAGGATTCTGACCCTGTTTCTGTCACCTTTGGCTTTCACTTTTCCCTTCCTTAGCAAATATGTTCCTTCTGCCATCCATCTTTGGTTTTTTTTTTTTTTTTTTTTCCTTTCTTTTTGCTACAGGTACTGGTGTTTTGTTTTTGGAATTCTTCCTCAATATTCTCACAGGTTCTTGATCAATATAGTTCATTAATGCAAAACTGTTCATATGTGTACTTTAAATCCCTCAGGAAAGTTATTTAAGTTGCACATTGACACTATGCTTTACTCTGATTTTTGATAGTAAGAGTTCGTGCTCACCACTACAATCTGTTCCTGGTCTTGATTCGGCAGGACCTGGAGAAAATAATCTTCCCTCTTTTACATCCAATTATGTAGTCTATTTGATTTCTAAATTGGCCGGCTGATGACTGGCTACTTGAAAATTTCTATAAATGGATGATTGGCTTCACAGAATTCTATGAGTCATTCTCCTACTTCGTTTCTGACCATGAGGCCAATTTCTCCCACAGATTTGATTCTGCTTCAATTCTTACTTTAACATTTCTGTCACTAATGATTATCAGCATGTCTTGTTTTGGTGTGTTATCAACTTTTTCTTGGACACTTGTACAAATGTTTCCCAGTTCTTTTTCTTCAACATCTTTTGTTGGAGCATAGACTTGAATGACAGTTATATTGATAGGTTTTCCACAAATTCTGATTGATATTAATCAGTTGGACCTTACTGGTCGTGCTATGACTTGCCTCAGTATTAAAGTCATTCTATTTTTTTCTGGGTTTGTCTGAAAATGAAAATGCCATATTCCAGTCCACTTACCTTCTCTCACACCAAGCACTGAGGCATTTATCCATTCCATTTCCTGCTTTATGGTTTCCAGTTTGCCTTGATTTATATCTCTCACTTCCATGTACAATTTGCATGTGTTGTGCAGCAGTATCCTTTCCTTTTACCTGTATGCATGTCAAAAGCACTAGACTTTTCCCTTCAGCTTTACTCTACCTTATTTGATTGACTGATTGATTGCCATACTGCCCAACAGCCAAAGAAGCCTGGGTGGTGTCATGGGCGGGCAGCCGGGCATGCAAACAATCCTTTAGTGCTAATTACCTACAAGATGTACAACTCTAGAGATAAGCCCTTCAATTGAGGTCTTTGGGATGCAGATGTTAACCCTCTAATAGCTTCTCTCCCCGAGCCCACGTGGGTCTACTCCTCTAAGTCACGCCTTTCTTCCCTCTTACGTAACAAAGATTGTCGCTGTTCATATCTTTGTAAAATCCGGAGACTGGATGCTCGAGAGGAATCCACCACGCCCACTGGGTCTTCTGTTTCATCCTCAGGGAGATCAGTGTCAGAGGGGAAAGGAGCAGTTTGCTCTGCCTCCTTCTGAGTAGAACTTGCAGCATCCTCTTTTTCGGGGCTATCCAGCTTCGACGAGGGCTCAGGCGTTTGCTCAATGGGCCAGGAGTCAGAGGGAGGTGCAGCTGCTTGCTCATCCGCCCCTAGACTTGGTTGTGGGGTCGGGTTTGGGCACGGGGTGCCAAGCACAAGACCTCCTCGTGAGTCACTGTCTCTGTCGGGGCTGCATGCACGACAGGTGGGTTGCAACAATCCTTGTGCAATTATTAGCAGCAGCTCTCTTCATACTTCTCTTCACTCTTCCCCAGTAATTGATGACTGCGCTCCAACTTGGGAGTTTCATCTTCTGGCACTATCTCTTGTGCCATTTGGGCTTGTTCCATTATAAGGTTTACAAGAACGTTCAAGATTTACCATTGCTTTCTTCTGCTTTGTACTAACCAGAGTCATCTTGAGTTTCACTGCCATTGTCTCTAAAAAATCCTTTTCCAGTGTTGCCTTCAGCTACTGCTGCCCAGAAGTGTCTCCATCCCATCATCACTGGAGATAGCCCTTCTCTTCTGCTAATGTGACTGCTACTCCTAAAGAGGTTGGATGCATCATAGTCTGGTGTCTCAGCTTTGATCCTTCCTACCTTGCGAGGAGATCAGTCTAGTGACAGAGTCTGACAGCAATGTTCTTGGCATTTCTGACATTCTCAAAGCCCAACATCACACTGAGGTGTGCATCCAAGAGAGGGCTGTCATCCTTAAATATTTTGAAACAGAGCAAGCCCATTAATTCATTAAATCATGAGTACCACTATAAAAGCAGCCCCCAGCCTAGCCCAATGTGCTCTTCTCTTCCTGCTGGAGCACTCACCCTGACAGAACAAATTATCTGGTATCAACACAGAATATAAATTAACACAAAAATACATGAATTTATTCATACTGTAGGTTTACCGTATGAAATATGATATCAATCCAAGAACACAAAGTTTTAAAAAAGAAATTTAAAGAAGACAAATAGGTTTAGTTATTTAAAGGTGAAAGGCTATCTGGACATGGTGCAATTCATCTTAGACAAAGAAGATTTATGAAGCAGAGTTACTAGAGAATAATAAGAAATAAGATTTTTCTTGGAGGTGTCCAGTATCTACAAGTCTTATTGGTGTCACATCTTGTTCATCACTTACATATGGCTGCATTTATTTTTAAAGGACAAAGTAAATCTGCAGAAAACAAGAAAGTCTACAGAAACAAGATGTCTTGACCTGGTTTGCATGATTGGATTAATAAGCCATGGTGGCTTTTTAATCACCCTGCACATGTCATTTCACACCACCCAAATTACAAAACTGCTTCAGTGAGCCTGGTTGGTTGGGGTCGTTAACAGACCACTCAGGAACCTAAAGGAAGCCAGGGATTCTAGGCCCAAACAACCATTTTCACTGTATTCACACATCATGGCAAACTAGGGCTGTATCTGAATCAAGTTGCAATGCAACCAACATGTTCAGAGTAGTTAATGAGTCATAGTTAACTAACTGTCTTGTAATCAGGCAAAGCGGCCTTTTCTGTTTTCATTACCATTTAGCTTTCATGGCTATTCTCAAAATGTTTAATAGGCAACTACATAATCAGTGTTACTATTTAAAATGTAAACAGTGGTACATTTTATTTTATATTTTGTTGCTGTTTTTATTATATATGTCACTGACCACGTTATAAATATGTGTAATTTGCACTCTTTGCTCAAGTTCTAGCTGTATGAGTTATTATTTTTAAAACTTTTTCCAAGTTTGAATCTTGTATTCAAGAATAAATGAAATTAACACAACTGATATCAATCAGGCAATCCCATTCACTGATTTTAATGTTACCTGTTTAAAACACACAACAGAATTTCTAGAAGTTTAGTCATTTATAAATACCACATTGGTAATAGTTTTGTCTGCCAACAGTCGTGAGCAAGCCAACTCATTGAAAGCAAAGCACTTTTGCCCATTTCTAGTCTTAACACACTTGGAATTCTTTTTTAAAAAATTCAATGACCAATTGCAAAAATGAATAAGATATCCTTTTTTTTAATGTGCATCTTACCTTTCTTCAAGACATTGAGGTAGTGTACCTGGGCTAATTCTATTTTATCCTCATATTCATTCTGTGATATTGCTTAGGCTGAGAGAGCCTGCCTTGCCTATAATTCAGCTTAATACTTGAGCAGGAAAGGGAAACTGTGACTACTGAATTTTCAGATTTCCCACAGTCATTGACTATTACATTTGTACATACACCTCAGTGACTAGTGACAGCTGATAACACCATTATGATGGAATAATTCCATATGAATTTTATTTAATGGGAAACATTAGAGGACTACGAAATATATACTTACAGTAACATGTTCCCCTGAGTGGATTACCAAGGTACCTGTTTTCAGAATCACACCTGCACAAGGGGAAAAAAAGACAAGAAATAGCAAGTTGCTTATTATCTGATAATTTTAAAACAAATGGCTAGCTAAACAATTTAGGCTACAGTCCTATGTACGTATACATATACATGGAAGTAAGTCCTACTGAACTCAGTGGGGATTACTCTTAGGAGAAATGCATAGGATACCACTATCGAGTATATACTGGAAAGAAACTTTAGGGGAAATGAGTTTATATTACTATTCTGTATTCCATTTGTATGTTGCCTTTCTTCCAAGGAACTCCAGGAAGCACACATGATTCTCCCACCCCACTTCCCTTGATCTTTGCAACAACCTGTACATCGGCTTAAGACTGAGAAGCAGAGACTTGAAGCTTAGAACTCTCTACTCTTAGACCGACACCTTTTCTCTCTGGTTCTCTCTGCACTTCTATGATAATGAAGGTCAGAAATTCATCTTTGGTTGTTGTTGTTTAAAATAAAAAGCTAAAATAAAGAGCTACACAAAAGACCAACAACAAAGCATACAATAGTCACAGCATAAAACGGTGTAGTGCGTACTACAGAACCTTTCATCATCATCACCTATTACTACTACTACTATTATCTTGCATTTTCCAGTAGAAAATAGCTAAGCTAATTCACTTCCAGTGCACAAATATTACTGACAAATTAAGAGGCAGAAGCTAAATGTAACGTGCCTGTTTTTAGAATTTTCCAGTTTGGATAAACATTTGTAGGTGTCACACTATGAACCCTCCCCTCTACATAATTGGGCCCTTTTATGTGAAAAAAAATTTTTATGCATGAGTATTCAGGCCAGTTCTAACTCTTTGCTTCCCTAAGCTAGCTTCAGAGGTTATCATTGGAATGCAGTGAGATTCTTACTAGAAATTGTAATTCATCCAGTGGGGTATGAACACATTTTTGGTGTCTGGAGTGCTTTCTGACAACCAAGAAGCCAAACAAACAGCAGGTCCCCGTTTCATCTTGCAATGAAACTGTATTGCCCTCTCTATCACTAGCTCCTCCGATCAATAGGGCAATGCTTTCTCCCATAAGACAAGGATGGCTACCCAAGGGAGAGCAGGCAGCATCCACAGTACTGCAACCAGAAAATATTGCTGCCATTGCCTCATGTTTATTGTCCATGACAGAAAAACACAAGATGATAACAAGCACAAGATGTTTTCACACAGCCAGGTTAAAGAGGATTGCTTTTGTGAACTAGGGTTCCTCCCATTGCACATTCAAAACCACAGACCATTTTTGCAAAACATCCTTCATTAACAAATGCATTTTCCAGAAACACAAACACAGAGAAAGGATCTCTGAGCATGCAAGAGCAGTTTGTTGAGCCTAATCTAGTATTTACTTCTAGGCACTCTCCTTATAAGTACGCTTGGACCCCATCCTTTTCAGGGAGTCACTTCTGGAAATGAGAATGCTTCTCTATGTATGCCAGTCCTCTAACGTCTCCAATTATATTGTTTTATATGGTTAATTGTGTATTTATTTATTGTTGTGAGCCGCCCCGAGGTTTTGGCGAATGGGGCGGCATAGAAGCTAGCTAAATAAGCTAGCTAGCTAGCTAGCTTGCTTATTTATTTATTTATTTAGCTAAATAAATAAATAAATAAATAAATAAATAAATAAATAAGAGTCTTCATTCTTCCCTTCAGCAGATACCCAGATTTATCCCTCACCACCTTCTATCTTTGTTGCTGTTGCAGATCAACATCTACAGGAACTGCAGGCTGTGGAATTGCTCGAACTGGAGCAATTGGACAGAGACAAATTATCCAGCAAATACTAATGGTAGGAAATCAAATATGCATATCAAGACAGCATCTTTCCATGTATCAACCCAGCCACAAGCTAGGTGCCCATTTCACTGGTCCTTTTTTCATCATCAAGTACATTAATTTAATTGCCCATCATTTACAACTGTCACCATCTTTGTGAATTAACCCTCTCTTCTACTAATGCCTACTATTTCCAGCAGCAGCAGACCACCCTTTCTATAACCAGGCCAGCCCACCACCTCCAGTAATCATGGAAATAGAAGAGGAATATGAAACAACCAATATTTTGGACTTCTGTTGTCACCACAGATGCCTAAAATATCTCCCTCATGAGTGGCATGAACCTTAAGTGTAGACTGAAGAATGATTATGTGAAGAATGATTCTGAAGAAAGATTCTGTTTCTGCCCCTACCCTGGTCATCCAATTTCACTTCCCCTTGAATTTGTCTGGGAGGATTGTGGGCAGAGAATTGATGTCATGCCTCTACTGGCAGTGATCTTATCCAGTAGGTCTAGGAGAGAAGTAGGAACTGCCTGCACAAAAATGAAAGAAGATATGTCCATACTACTAAGTACTAAGGAACAAAGTAGTAGCACAGCCAAACCACTTCGTCTCTTTCTGCCTTTGAACAAGAAACAACTAACCAAAAATATCCTTGTCTTGCATTCATGATAGACATGTGGGTGCCTTGGAGTTGTCAAAGTTTTAAACCATTAAATGGACTGTTAAAACCATTAAAATACTAATTTTTAAAATAACCCTTGAATAAAAATGTTTTGACCTGACGTCGAAAAGAGTATAGAGTTGGCACCAGGCAAACTTCTCTGGGGAGCGCATTCCACAATCTGGGCACCACCACAGAGAAGGCCCTACTTCGAATAGACATCCTTTTTACCTCCTTCAGGGAGGGTTCCAAGAGCAGGGCCTCTCCCGTAGATGTTAAGGGGCATGAGGGCATATAAGGAAGGAGTTTATCATTGAGCCAGGCTGTTGTTGAAAGATGGGTTATTGTGTTGTCTGAACTTAGCTGTACAAACAAACCATAGTTCACAGTCCAATAACAAACCATAGTTTGTTAGCAAGGCTGGGTTCAGATTACACTGAAATCCACATTTCACCAACAACCCATATTTCATCTTATTTCAAAATAAAGGGAAAGTCTGGTATAGAATGTTCTTATTTGAACTGAGATCTTTTCAAATCCCATGGTCCTATAGATCCTATCTAAATGCTATACAATTGCTCTGCACAACCAAATAGATGTCTCACATGCAGTTGTAATTTTCAGACATGTTGCCATTTTTTTCAGCGCTTACATATTTGTTGTTTGTAATATTTGTTCCTTAACTGATCCACTACCATTCATAGATCTAAACAAAAAAATGCATTCTAATATGCAACCTGAAATATGAAATAATTCCAAACTACTCCTTCTTCAAAAATAGCATCTGCTTTGCATAGCAAAGATGACTGTTGAATTGTTTGAGCAAAAGTACCAAAACAGAGTGTGGTTTCAGTATTTAATGTTTAAGCCAGGAGTTTCTTGTGATGGAAAGGAAACAAAAGGAAAACATGAATTGTAATTACTTTTTAATAAATGCATGTGTTTTTACAGCACATAAGTATTTTACATATTCTCATAAAACTGTGAATCTGCTAGTAGAGTTCTACTGTAGATAACACAACACACATTGTGTTAGCTAAAAAGAAGTACATGAAAATAATATTTAAGGCTGAAATCTAATACCTCCTACCTGGAAATCAGTTCCATTAAATCTGAGAGATTTACTTCTGAGCAGATACGTATACGATTGCATTATAAATACATATAGTCTCCTTAATGCTTTCAAGTTCAAAAATATGCATAAAATATGCATTTATTAAGCAAAAGATTAATAAATTTGTTGTTGTTATTGTTGTAATGGAAAGGGCCTTTTGAGGCTTGAGGAACTGCAAGGGTAAAAAGACGGAGTAGGCAGGCCTGGTGGGAAGACCAGGGAAGCTACAGGTGGTCATGACCTGTTGTAAGCCGCCCCGAGGCTTCGGCGAATGGGGCGGCATAAAAATGTTTTAATAAATAAAATAAAAAATAAAATGACAGGGACACTGGCGCCAAGGTCATGCAGTGGGAGGAGAAGGGTTGAAGGTCTGAACATTTACAAAGCTAGATATCCTCCCAGCTGGGACAAATGCCAGGATGCAGGAAGAGAGATAAGGAAAATAAAACAAATGGCTCTGCAGGTCTGGCACCCTAGTAAGGTAAAAGGTTTGGATTTTTCAACAACCCCCAGGGGATCAAAAGGTTGTGCTAGCTTGGGGAGGGAATAAAAAGAATGCTGATGGCCAGGTTGTTGCGCCTCACCTTGGAGACAGGCAGAGGTTTGCCAGCAGCCAGATGCTGAGGCCAAGAAGATCAGGCCAGTTACTCTGAGGAGACCGGTTTGGTGCAGTGAGACAGTTTTTAGGTTTTTAGCTCAATTAGTCTTTGTTGTTTTAGAGCAGGGATCTTCAACTTTTTCAACGGGGCCAGTTGAAAGGTGCCAGTGGCGGGCATGGGCCAGTGTAGCAGGGGTACCCGCGGGAGTGGGCCGGTGAGGCGGTGGCAGGTGCAGGTGCGAGGAGTCCAAAACCTCTGAGATGGACTGGATAAATAGGCATGGCAGGCCAGATCCAGCCTGTGGGCCGTAGTTTGAGGACCTGTGCTTTAGAGACTGGGATGGTCAGAAGGGGGTAAACCTCTGGAAACTATTGAATTATCTACCTCATCCTTTTCTCCCTTTTCCCTTACTCTTGTGTAGCTGAAGTTATTTGTACTTTTTCCCTTGTGTATATGTGTTTGTTGTAGTCTAATAAAGACTCTTCTTTCCCCAAGTCTTGGGTCAACGTGTGCCGGTTCAGTGCCGCTTCTTTGTCACGGGCCGGGATTAAGTCTTTTTTAACCCTGGGGGCTATCGGAAGGTGGAGACTTTCGGCAGCCTTTGGTGAGGGTAGTCTGCCTCACTGTTACTACTACTACTACTATTACATTACTTTTTACTGCTGCCCAGAGAAGTCCTTCCAAAATACCAGTGGGATCTTGCAGGGACTATTCCTGGCCAGTCAGAATTGGTCCTTTTCACGTTCTCAAAAGTGCAATAAAAGCCATAGTGAGCCAAAAATGGCTGGCAGCAGCAATGGGAACAGAAGGAAACTTCAGTGCTCCCAT